GTTGAATCCATAGGCTACATCCAAAGAGCCATAAATGTTGTAAGATGTACTCACCGAGTGTAAATCACTTGATCTTAGATTTTGCACAAACAATGAGCAAAGCAACATTAAAAGAAAAGCCATGTTAGCAGAGGATGTTTGTAAAACCTGAATGAGCTGACAGGGCCTCAGGATCCACGCAGAGCCTGGAGTTGTTAGCTGGGCTGCCAGGGTCCGGAGAAGCCAGCAGAACCCCAAGATCCAAGTGAAATCTGGAAGGGCCAGCAAGGCCACAGGATCCAAACAGCACCCAGAGACAGTAACTGGCCTGCTAGGGCCTGAAGCCTAGAGATGGTAGCAGGGTTAGAGCTGAGCCAGAGAAGGAGGTTGGTAGCTAGGCTGTTTGGGCCTGGAGCCTAGAGATGGTAGCAGGGCCTCACGATCCAAGTAGAGCCAGAAGATGGAAGCTGGGTTGCCAGGTCCTATAGAGGCTCGGAGGGCCTCAATATCCAAGCAGAGCCAGGAGGTGATAGCTGGGCTATTTAGAGCCTGGAGTCTCAAAATGGTAGCTGGACTGCTAGGGCTAACAGGAAGAGCCTGGAGATGGAGCTTTTCTGCAACAACGTAGTCCATAATCTAAAAAAATTCTCCTTATCTAAAAGCCAAAGAACTCAAGCATAGAATCTGCCAAAAATTTCTCCATGAGTATAAAAGCAAGCAAAATGAGTATAAATGAGAATAGGTATACGCGACAAACACACATCAAACCATTCATGCCGCCATCTTGGATTGCCTATCTAAGGAAAACCAGCTGATTGCATAGACCTATTGACTCAAAAACAATCCCTCACACCAAGCATGCATGTAGTGACAGTGTAGAGGAAACCATCCTTTAAACAGGAAGAAACCTTCAGCAGAACCAGGCTAAGTATAGAGATAGAATAGAGATAGAATGAAGCAGAATTATGAAAAGGGCTCCCTATGTCCTCCAGCTGTCTAAGCCTATAGCAGCATAACTGTGGAGATAGTTCACGAGAACCATGAGCCCCTCGAACTGTAAGCTTTGTCAAAAAGGAAAGTTTTTGGCCTATGCTTAAAAGTAGACAGGGTGTCTGCCTCACGGAGTAAAACTGGTATTTGGTTCCACAGGAGAGAAGCCGGATAAATTAAAGATCTGTCTTCCATCTTACTTTTAGAAATTCTCAGATGTAAGATGGAGCTTGGCCATTTAAGGCTTTACATGTGAGAAGGAAGATTAAAATTCTTATTCTAGATTCAACAAGAAGACAATGAAGAGAAGCCAGGATAGATATGATCTCTCTTTTTAATTTTCATTAGATCTCTGGCAGCAGCATTATGGATCAGTAAAAGCGTTTTAACTACAGTTTTCGGACTTCCTGAGAGTAAAGAATTACAATAGTCCAGCCTTTAAGTAAAAAATGCATGGACTAGTTTCTCTGTATCACCCCTGGACAGGAGATTTCTAATTTATGTAATATTCTTGAGATGAAAGAAGGAAATTCTAGAAACCTGTTTAATATGGAATTTAAATGACACATTTACAAAATTGTATGATGAGTCTGCTGTGTGGCCTCTTAAACAAATAGACACAGTAGAGTAAAAATAATGTTTAAATAAATGCACTATATAAAATCATAATTTATTATTTAGTATCATTTTTTTGAATGGTATATACATTTCTAACATAGTTTATTATCTCATTTAGCAGTTCATGATTTAATAGTAGATTTAAAATTGTCATCACTGATCAAAAATTAATGATTAATAAGTTGTAATTTTATTTATTGAATAGCACATTTAATAAAAATGTAGATTTATTTCCTGATTTATTTATTTACATCATGACACATCCATATTTTTTATTCTATGAAAAGTAACACTCCTTCAATGATCTTTCTTCTGAAGCTACTGATAAATACTATAATCATATAGTTGGGTGGATTGCAACCCAGGGGTGGTTGTGGTGGTGGGGAATCAGATTTGAGCATAGGCGTAGGTTCCATCTGACTCCTGTCCTTTAAATAAGTAACCCTGCTGTTTCACTCCACTCTCATTGGTTGTTCTGCCTCAAGTTCAGCCTTCTGTCTTCCTGATTGGCTGCTTTCTTGTCCATATGCGTGTGTGCGTGCTTGGAGCATGAAATAAGAATTTTATTCACGCTAGTTACTTCAAATAATATTATGCTACGAAACTAGTCCTAATGAAAAAAACGTAATTCTATCTACATTAAAACAGGTGAAAGCTGCTGATTGCTGATTCTTAGCCACAGACGACTGAAAAAGAAAATATGAGGGTTTCCCTTTTAACAATAATTCATTGCAATTACTGTTTTCATTTTATGATGAACCTTTGAGTTAAGCTATAAATAGCAGGTGTTTTTTTCTTTTATAGAGTATAACAACACAAGATGAAGCCTAAACCTCTGATATTTTTTATTTAGAAAGCATAATTACGGTTCCACATAATATTGCTATTTCTTTGACTGTTTCTACTTTTAAAAATAGGATAAAGCCAATAAAAAACAGAGGAACACTATTTACATTGATTTTATTTTACATAGATTTCCACACAGTCCATAAGTTAATCACTACAAACATTAGTGTTTGGTAAAAATGCTTGAATCCGTCTGTTTATTTTTTATATTATTACATTACAGACAAGATGGTGTTATATATTTTTCTCAATAATTGTTAAAAGTGATTTTATATTGGAATAAATGTAGTCTCATTCTTAGTGTTGTTTTTTGTAGATGATGCCACTAAATGTAAATACAATAAATGTATTTGCCGTTCCTTGAATGTGTTTCTTTGCATTGTTCCATAATACAGAGAGAGCATTTACAAAATAAGAGTGTGTCTCACCAGTTTACCTTTGCACAATTATATATCTTCAAAAGAAAATACAGGATAAATCAGCATATAACAGGCATATTTAGACTATATTTGGTTAAGTTGGCACATATTTACCAACTGTCTTAATCACTGGTAAGTATAAATGCAAACCTTTTCAAAGTGGAAAAAAGTCCTAATTGCACATTGATCAGAGCCAGTGACGCTTCACACATTGACAAACAGCATCCAGTGTGTGTAGTGCTTATAAAATTTGTATAAATGTAGCAAGAAATGCTGCTGTTCTCTTTGTGCAAAATGCACCCTGATGCTCACGTCAAGCATAAAAAAGCATGCATATTTTTGCATAGGTAAAATGACATTAATGAAACTTAAGAGCAATAGTGTCCCTACCAAAGCGGAAATCAAACCTACGCCCTTGGATTTGAGGCCTGCTTACCCTAGACAGAGACTTTTGTGTGTATTAAAACACTGATCTTTTATATACTGTATACTCCAATTTATTATATCTGTATTCTTTGTATCTCCAGTTGCTTTTGGCTTGTTGCTGCTGACTCTGCACCATTGCATCTCAAAACAAGTTGATCCAGAAAAGAAGACGTTAATGAACTGCTTAAATGATAAAGACTATCCAGAGCTTCTCGAGATAGCAAATACCGGGCTCAACAAAACCCAAGGGAAATACGATGTTGTGATTGTTGGAGCAGGTGTAGCTGGACTCACTGCTGCCAAACTGCTGCAAGAAGCTGGATATGAGGTACATAAGAAATAAAAATCTATTTTATTTTGTTGGTTTGGGGCAAATTTTGAGTTGTGGAATGACTCATAAAATTTTGCCTTGATTGTATTTGTTTTTTCTAAATCAGGTTACTATACTGGAGGCAACTGAGCGAGTTGGAGGACGGGTGTTAACCCATAGGAATGATGAAGAGGGTTGGTATGTAGACTACGGGGCCATGAGGATTCCATCTTCTCATCAGTAAGTGACAATTATTTCAAATGCAATATTTTCAAGTTGAATCCCTGTAGATCTTTTAGATTAAAATCAATTAATATAATTAATAATACAATTAATTTAAAGCTATCATCATGAAAAAACCTCTCAACAGGATTCTCCATGAGTTTATCGAAAAACTGAAAATCAAACTGAATCCGTTCAATATGACTGATAACAACACCTATTACCTGATCAATGGAACAAAGCACCGGACATCAGAAGTGAAAAACAACCCCAGCATCCTGGATTACAAAGTGTCTCCTGAGGAGCAGGGTAAATCCGCCAGCGAGCTCCTGAAGATGGCTTTACAGAAGGTAAAAGATGGATGTGAAGTGACAAATATCTGCATTTGACTCTGCACCCATCAGTTTTGATAAAACTTTTTTTGACATGAATGCTTATCCAGATAAAACTAAGGAAATCTCAGTACGTTTATGTATGTTTTTATATTATGTTGCCAAATGTATTTGTAACAGAAACTGAGGAATGTCTATGTTCTGTGTATGTTGTGTGAATCATTATAGGGAAACGGATTGGGCAATATAGGCTTTCATAGCCTCCTACCAGATTAGGAAGGTACATATAATGTTCAGGTTTTTTTCGGGCTCCTGGTCGTTTATTCCAGTAGCTCACCATCTTCACCCCAAAAAAGTCACCTGGCTTGTATTAACAACAGGAATAGAAAAAAAATCATCTTAATTTATCTATCTTGATAACTAGGGTTTATTAGCATTAGTGTTCCTCTTTTGTGTACACAACCCATAAAAATGTACATATATTGAAATAAATAAATTGTTTTCAGTATTTAAGGCAAACAACTCCAATATGATCCTCCAACTGGGGATGCATATCTCGGCAGGCATGCACTTTTTCGGCATAACACCAGACCACAGTGGTAACCTAATCCATGACCTCTTCATTAAACCGAAGCCAAGAGTAACTTTTGTTTTAAAAATGTAAGGAAAAGAAAGTACAGATACTTCTGTGAAAATGTAATGAGTAGAAGTCAGAAGTAGGAGGAAAAATAAGTGAAAGAGTAAAGTATAGATACCTAAAAAGTGTACTTAAGTATTTGTACTGTTACTTTACACCTATGATAAACATTCATATTTTTTGTCCATGGGAGTCAAGAAATCTTCTGTGAATTGACAGATTTAAAGGTGTTAATGTGTTTTAGCAATATAGCTCTTGATGAACATGGGTGAGTTTATTAAAATAAGATAAGAAGGATCTTTATGTAAATTTCCCTTTTTGCAGGTGAGCGATTCAGTTTCTCAACATGGCTGTGGGGAACTGAAGAGATTTGACAGATACACTGTCAAGGTAAGTTCGATAAAAACAATTTTTGATAAAGCTTATGTTAAACCTTTTTTTTTTTAAAGTGTATATTGTGCTTACTTGTTTTCTTTGCATAATATTCACAATTTTGTCATTCTAAAAAAACTTAAGTATGACAGACCTTAAAAAAAAAGAAGCATTCAA